GATGGGAGGGGGGGGGGGGGTGAAAAAGCGGTGGTGGTGGATTGGGTGACGGGAGGGTTTTGACACGACATTTTTATTCTGCTTGAGTTGAGAGACGAGGATGCTATCTACAGCCAGTCAAAAGGGGAACGCAGGTTCGCCCGATAGGTTGGTGGAGACGTTGTTGTCTTTTGGAGACTTGAACAACTGAGCTTATGTATATAGGCAGACAAGGGGGGTGTTGTTGTTAGAAATCTGGATGAGAATTTTGAGGTTGAATAACTGCTGGGCTTGCTTCAATTGACAATGTGACTGTTGACCTGAGATGAGATGAGTGGTAAAAGGGAGTGTTCAGATGGAAATGGTGACTGGGCGACGGTTCGTGCTACGGGGAGCTAATGCCTGTTGTCATCTCAACGTTCATGTTTGAGTCTGGAAGCTGGAGAATTGAGGTGCTACAAGCAGCCAGCTTGAGATGAAACTGAGATGCTGAGGCAGAGAGCAGGCAAGCAGGCTGAAAAGGAGGAGCAATGATCCAGAACAGTGGTGTGTAAAATGAGGGGTGGATAAGCAGTTTAATTGGCTGGGTTGAGCTGCTGGTCCCGATGCGGACAGGATGCGTGCGCCGCAGGGACGATCACCTTTTGATCCCATGGGGAAGCCTGAATTACGTCTTGTTACCTCGTTCTCATCGATCAGTTCATCGTCACTCAATCCTCGACCTTTTGCAAAGAGCTGCTATAGACGTGCTGGTGAGGATTGAGAGAGCGCGACAGCAGACGACCACTTACACCCCCCAGCGAGGCTCCACCGGCGCGATTCCCTGACAGCTCTCACCATACCTGGGCGGGATAGGTGAATGAATGACCATGTTCAGCAACTACACCTTCGACAGCGGCAACAAAGAACAACCAACCAACAACAATGGGGCCATCACCTCTTCCAATTCTTCAACGTCAGCCACAACCGGTGGTGAAAACAAGAGAAAAATGATCATCACACCTCCCAGCACGAGCACCGCCTCTTGGGAGTCTTCATCATCAGACTCGCTTGAGAAGGGCGGGGGGGAGGAGGAGTATGACGACGATGACCCCTTCGAAAGGGGTAGGGGGAAATACAACCGGAGTCGAAGACAGGATGTTGACGACGGTGAGGAGCAATCACCCATGACAGTAAAGAGGAAACCCAACCCAAGAAAGGAACTCAGCTTCACTGCCGAGGAGGAGAGGGCTGTAGTAAGAAAATTTGACAAGAAGGTGGTGGTTCTCATGGCGGTGTTGTACATGCTTGCGTTTCTAGATCGGTCGAGTATGTTTCCCTTTTTTTTTTTTTTTGGTGTCCACAACACAACACACATGATAACTGACAAGAGGTCAGACATCGGCAACGCAAGAATAGCCAACATGGACAGCGACCTCCAGTCTAACCCGCCAAACCCGCAGTTTTATTCCCATGCCCTCTCGTCGTTTTATCTGGCGTATCTCCTGTTTGAGTGGATGGCTATTCTTTGGAGACTAATACCGGCGCATATCTACGTCTCGGTGTTGGTAGCCTCGTGGGGAGTGGTGGCTTGCCTGCAGGGGATAGCGACGAGCTACCCTGTGCTCATCGTCTTGAGGTTCTTGCTCGGGATCGGGGAGGCGGGCTTCACCGGGGTGCCGTTTTATTTGAGTTTTTTCTTCAAGAGGGAGGAGCTGGCTTTGAGAACGGCAGTTTTCATCTCTGGTAAGCCACTAAGCCCCCCATCTTCACCCCAAGTTGGTCTGCGACACTAACTCAACCAAGCCGCCCCCCTAGCAACCTCCTTCTCCTCCACCCTCGCCTTCGCGATCACCTCCCTCTCCTCCCTCATCCCCCTCGCCCCCTGGCGCCTACTCTTCCTCCTCGAAGGCCTCCCCTGCATCCTCATCGCCCCGCTCGCCTACTCCCTCCTCCCCTCCACCCCCTCCACCGCCCCATTGGTCAGCCCCCGCCAGAGGAAAATCGGGAGTTTACGCCTCTCTCCCCCATCAACCCCTTCCATCTCCTCCAGCCGAACCGCCCTGCGCGACCCGACAGAATGGACCACCTCCCTGATAATCCTCCTCACAAACCTAGCCTACTCCTCCCTCTCAGCCTTTTTACTAACGATCCTAACCTCAATGGGCCACAGCCCCCTACACGGTCAAGCCCTCTCCGCACCTCCCTACCTCTTATCATTCCTCGCAGTTCTGATAACAGCATACCTATCACACCTCTACGGCAACCGCGGCTCCTTCCTCGTCTTCCGCGCGTGATTCTCCTGTGCCGGGTACGACCTCCTATCCCTCTCCCAATACGCTCCCCTCCCCGCCGGCCAGCTGGTGTCGGTACGGTGCAGTCCTTCCCGCAACAGTGGGGTTCTTTCAATGTGGTCGATCAGAGGAAAACGTGGAACAGGGGGCTTCAAGACTGGCCATAACAAAAGCAAAAAAGCGGGGGGTTCCCCCCTGAAGAAATGTATTTTGAAATCCTTGGGCAAGTTGGGAAGTTGGGAGAGTTGGTACCCCCAACCGGG